CATTCGTTACCCTCATCATTCTCAAAACATTTACTCTCGTAAGCCCCTGGCATCAGCTCCTCATTTTCCCCCCTCCCTCCCTGCTCCCCGCCTGAATGTTCAACTTTTTGAGGGAAATATCCCAAACTACTTTCCTCTTAATGAAGAGCATTTGAAGCAAGGGATCTCCAAGTTCCACCTCTGGCGAGCCTGGTGCTAGGCACTCTGGAGAAGGCTTGGCCATTTGCACTCGTTTATATCCTCCTTTGGCAATCCTGACCCATCTAGAGCCACTGTACCACACTGTTCTCCCACGGTCTTAGTTACCACCATCTCTAAAGAGGGTCCTGCCTAAATTAGGCACCTGAATACAAAGCCAAGCAACCATAATTTGTAAAGATCTATTTCTTAACAAAAAGAAAGCAGCCATTACTTCCACCAGTGGTAGCCCACGGCTTACCTCTCGCAGCCCTGCCCGCTCTGCAGGTTATAGAATCCAGGGTCACAGGCACTGCAGTCCCTGCCTGTCACGTGAGGCAGGCACTCGCACTGCCCGGTCACGGGGTTACAGTCACTCTGCTGCCTCATGGTGCCATAGGGGTTGCACGCACAGGCTGGGGTGAGCAGGCGGAGACAGAAGAAGACACAATCATTTGAGAGAAATCCTGAACGCACACATGGAAAACAGGTTCTTCAGACTTGTGCTGTCCCATACGGTAGCCACTAGCCACATCGGGCTACGGAGGACTTGAAACGTAGCTCATCTCAATTGAGGTGCTACAAAGGCGCAGTACGCCGTGGATTTTGAAGAAGGCATTTAAAAAGCAAGCTGCAGAAATACACAACCTCATGAATTTTATATTCTTAGTTGAGGAGGATCACTCTCTTCATAAATAAAAGGCCCGTGCTAGTTTGGGTTGCCTCACGTCAACTACGACAGAAACAGCATCTTAGAAGAGAACTTAAGACTGCCCCACCAACTAGAGCCAGCTTCTGTCTTATACGGAACACTAGATGAAGTGATAAATTGAGTGCATGCAATGAAATAAAATACGCTATTAAAATTAATTTCACTGGTTTCCTTTTCCTGAAAAGCTTTAAGTTGCTGGTGCCAGGTTTCCACTAGACAATGAGACCACCCGATGACTCCTACAGAAACGTGTGCCGCCGCAACCATGTCGGTTACCTTTACACTTCTCTGCTGGGGTGGGGGCCAGGGGGTTTCCGAAGAAGCCCTTTCTGCAGCGGTCGCAGTAGAAGCCGGCCGTGTTGTAGATGCACTTCAGGCATTCCCCCGTCAGGCGATCGCAATTTCCAACTGCATTGGGGTCGATGTTGTCATTGCACTGGCACAGGCGGCACAGCCTCACGGGGCCGTTTCTGCCCAGGGGGTCTCCAAAGTAGCCGTCATCACAGAGCTCACACCTCTTGCCTGCGGGAAGGTGACCGGTGTGAGGAGAGGGCACGGACACTTGTGGTGTCTAAATCACCACTGGTCCAACCAGCGGTGTGAGGAGCATCGGCAGTGCTCGTGGCTCTGTGCCGGAGGACGGAGGACGCCTGCGCATGTCTCTGACCTCTGCCTCTCCAAGCCTCCACTCACTCCCGTAGCAGGAAGCTAGCACCGAGGCTTCCTCTCAAAAC